AACTGCAATAAAAATAATGTTTATCAGTTTTCACAGACAACACAGAAACAACCCAGTTATATACAAGATGTTGCACTTTAATATATAAATGTTTGTGTTGCTTAGTTGGTTAAACTTTAATTGCTATATTTGAGGTCAGAGGTTTGACTCTTGTTGTTAAAATCCTTGTTTATATTTTATACAACTATTGTCTTTTATAAAAGGGAAAAGGGTCAAATAGGCCCCTAAACTTTACACCAAAAGTCAATTAGGCACTTAAACTTTAAAAAGATGCAATTAACCCTCAAACATGTTAAATTGAGTCAATAAAGCCCATGAATGGGAATACCCCAAGGGTAATGGGACTCCATTTCCATGGACTTTGTAGGAAGTTTGCTTGTAACCTAGACGGGGAAGGACAAAATATGGGAAATTGTAGACCGGTTGACTGAAACTGCACGATTCATTGCCATGAAGGAGACTTGGATGATGAAGCAGTTAGCCATGGCTTATATCAGTCAGGTGGTCAAATACCACGGGGTCCCACGAGATATTGTCTCAGATAGGGATTCCAGGTTCATATCCCAGTTTTGGAAATCGCTACAAATAGCTATGGGGACAAGATTAAAACTAAGCACCGCCTTCCACCCCACGACCGACGGACAAACTGAAAGGACTATCCAAACCCTAGAAGACATGTTAAGGGCTTACATGATCGATTTCCAAGGATCATGGGAAGAACACTTGGACTTGATCGAATTCTCCTACAATAATAGCTATCACGCGAGTATACGTATGGCTCCCTACGAGGCCTTGTACGGTCAGAAGTGCAGGACCCCATTATGTTGGGAAGACATGGTTAACCCAGTGGCTTTAGGACCACAATATCTACAAGACACCATCGCGAAAGTCAAGTACATACAAGAGAAGATGAAGGTCGCGTGTAACACCCCTAAATTTTTAAACTTTTAAAGCTTATGGAATAAAGGCGATTCTAATATTAATTCCCAAACAGAGCATAAACTAAACATGATAGACGGGGTGTTATACCACATCTGAGCTAGAGAACCCAGATGCATAGGCTAGACTAACTAACAAAGCGTAATTAATATCTAAATACAAATCAAGGCACGCATGCCAGCTCATCAAAGCTAGAACTATCTAAACTAAATCCACGAATCCGACTAGCGCGCTCCGAAGCTACTCAACTGCTCCTGAAACACATTCGGTGTAACAATCGTTAGCGAATAATGCTGGTAACCCACTCCGACGCGTTAAGTACAATATAGGTAGATATAAAGAAATCATTTTAAAACTGGAATACATATATAACTTACGAGACTCTAATTTAAATCCAAGATCAAGACTCAAGACACGATAATAGACTTGACAATATAGGACAATCATAAAGACTAGCATGCATCCTAAGAATACGATACAAGACATAATAGACAAACAAGTTCATAAATAGCAAATAGAGACAACAAGGGCATTCAAGACAATCAATTAACAAGCAATCATCAAAGCACACAAACGATCTTCCCACCTTATACCAAGTTCCAACCTTGTAGCACCCCTCCGTCCTTATATTAGTTCCAACCTATACCTCCAGGCCACCCATATATCGCCTCCCTTATTCCTCCAGGCAACTACATGCCCCCACCGACAAACCACCTTTCATCCACCAACATATCAAGATAGCGCCGCAGTGCCATTCGCATGATCCGCACCTGTAGTGCCAATATCAAGGGTTCAGCGCATATAGCCCTGACATGACACCGCAACACTTAAAACCTGACCCATGCTCAATGGCAAGCTAGTCGAAGTTGGGTTTGTGCCTTTAGCACAGTAACCGCTAGGCCTGTACCTTTAGTGCAATGGCCGGGCACAAGTGGTGCCAACCGCCAACAATTCATTTCCACCAATCACAATCTCATCATCATCATCATCATCATCAATCACACCGGCCATTGCGCAATGACCACGATACTCATCACCATTCAATCAATCAACACATAATCAATCAATTAACAATCAAGACACAACAACAACGGCACGTATTACACATAAATTCCTAGAACGATACTCAAAACACCAAACGAGACTCATACACGACAAACGGGGTACAACGGAACACAACGGGACAAGGGGAAACATCAAACGGGGAAAAAATATCACGACGCACCACACAATTCCAGCGGCTAGGTGGCGGGTGGAGGACCACCCGCCGGCGGGCAGCCACCATTCCAGCGGGTGGCCGGTCTGCCCGCCGGATGCCCGCTGGACAAGGCGAGCTGGGCAGCGGGTACCCATGCCCCCACCTACCCCCAATGATACTCAGGAAACTTTTGGGTCCCGGGATCTCTCGTGGAACCCAAAACCATGTCCAAACACATTCAAACACATAACGACAACACCACGGATTCAATTAACGGAATTAAATCAAGAATCATACCAAATACGTCCTAACACGATTCCTAAACATGCCAAGACTCATCATTAATACATATAATGGTTCAGGGGCATCCAGAACCTCAAGAACATCAAGAAATCTATATGCAAAGTCCAAAAAACAAATCCTAGGCTAGCCTCAACACCCGATCATGCATAAACCCACCCAAATATACCAAGAATATCACAACAACGAGATCCACGATATAAACCCTAGGGAAAAGCTCTAGACATAATAAAATACAAGATTACACATATAATTAATCACAACATCAAGATTATCAAGATTATCAAATAATCACAATATAAATCCTTGGCAAAGGTTCTATCAAGACTCAATCACAAAATCACATATACAGTTATAAAAGGAGCTAATAAATAAGATATAGCAAGGAAAATAGGTTTTGACAGGGGTTACCTCTTAGCCCTAATCAATATCCCTGGTTACTAAGGCTCTTCTCTAAGATTCTTCTCCCAATTGATCTTCCTAGGCTTGTTAGTGGGGACTTCCTTGGCGGGATTACCTTAGAGTGTTTTCGAGTGAGGGAGAAGAGAGGAAGGTTCTATCTGCTTCCTAATCCCCTATTTATATGTTTAAGGAAAACCTACTCTAGGTCTGAATAATAAGGCCTGCTTTCCTTATTCCCTATGGGCTTAATGTTCCTGGTTCAGGTAAAGGTTCACGATTCATTGTGGACCGCCTGGGTTAATTAAGGGAATTATAATTGGATTAAATTCCTCTTAATTATTTTAATTATCAGAATTAATTTAATAATTAATTCAGATTTGAAGGTCGTAACACGGGGTGTTACACCGCGCAAGACCGCCAAAAGTCCTACGCCGACTTAGGGAGAAAGCCGACCGAATTCCAAGTAGGAGAGAAGCTGTGGTTGAAGATCTCACCCACGCGAGAGGTAATGAGGTTTGGGAAGAATTGTGACACCCCGATATTTTAAAACACTTTATTTTAATAAAATATTCTTGAAAATAAAATCTATCTTTTAATCCTAAATATTTTAGCTCTAATACTTTCAAAACAAATTGTTTTTGTGCCTAAACTTAAATAATTTATTTTATAGCCCACAATTTTGCTATTCAAAATCTATCTGAGTCGAGCCTGTCAATATCATTTTACAAGTCTAAAATGTTGAGTCCAAATAGTTTTGTTTAAGCCCAAAATAATCCTAGTCCAATTGTATAATCCAAACCTTAGTCCAAATTATATGATATGAATTTTGAGACCAAAAACCCTAACATTTTAATTCAAGGTTATCTCAACCTCTTTGCTGATAGAGATCAGCCGCCAACACCAACTCACTCCCCATCGCCATTTTTGTTTTTATTTCTCTTCGTCAACAGCCATCTTCCTTGTTGTGAGCTAAGACATGTACTTTGAACCTCCTTCTCCTCCTCTGTCCTCCGTCTCCCTTTCTCTTCGCGACGAAGCAGCAGAACAGAGTAGTCTAGTGGTTCCTCTATTTCTTACCGGCAAGCAGAGCAACGACGACACCTTTCTCCTTTCATCTCTAGTCGACGGCGACGACTAGATCGTGACCGGCAAGCTTCTAGCGACGAAGTTTCCTCCCGCGGTGGTTGGACCAAAAGCAGTTGCGGCGGCTGGACCTCCTTCGGTGAGCAGCGGCTATGGGCGGTGGAGGTTCGCGGTGTTGTGACTTGAGCTGTGGTTGCCGGTAGTGTGGTGTGGTTAGGAGGGTGGTGTCGAAGCTTCCCTTTTCCGGCAAAGTTGTGGACGAAGCTGAGGTGAGGTATGTTCTGTTAGTAATGTTTAGTTGTTGTTAATGATTAGGGTTAAAGATGGTGATTAGTGTAATGGTTGGTTGGTTAAGATTAAGGATGGTAGAGATTATTGATAATGGTTGATGTTGTTTAAATAATCATAATATTGTTAATGATGATTAAGGATGGTAGTAATGATTAGTTGAGTGATTATGGGTACTGACAATATATTAATGAAGATTAAATCATTGATGATGGGGATGTTATGATTTACGTATGATGGGTTAAAACTGATTAAAGATGATTATGGATGGCTAATATTGAAGATGAGATCTGGTGGTAAATCTGGAAATTTGAATTGCTTAATCTTTAGAGATTGTGAAGTGATGAGATGAAGATTAAAGATTTATGGTGGATTAATGAGGTAGAAATTATTAATTATTTTGGTATTAATCATTAATGGGTATGATTAAATGGTGATGATGCAATAATTGGTGATGACGATGCTAATGATATAATTAATGATTAATGATGATAATTATTGAATAATGATGAGCATGATGATGTTGGATTAATGGTGATTAGCAAGATGGTTAGTGATAATCATGGTGTTTAAGGATGATGAGGATGCTTATGAATTAATGATCATTAATCATGGTTAAATGATTATTGTTGATGATGGCAGTGAGTTAAATGATTATTGTTGATGATGGCAGTAAATGGTAAAGGAATTATTCGATGGTGATGAGGATGTTGATTAGTGATGGTTACTAATAATAATAATAATATTATTATTTTTAGTGATTAGTGATTATATTAGATTGTTGACCCACAGGTTCTTGTTGAAGTGACTAACTTATAAGTTGAGCCTAGATTGGGTGCTGGCTTTGAGAGCTTAGCTTGAGGTAAGTTTCTATGTCTGTTTAAATTACTTTGCCCTACTAAATGTTTTACGTATATGATTTGTGTATTTAAATTATTTTTAGAATGTGTTCTAGTTTCAAAATGTGATAAATAGCAAAATATGGTTATTTTGGTGTTGACTTGTGATTTATATGGGTTGAAACTATATTTTTGAAAGGTGTATAATCTATGGTGTGCCTAAATGTTTTGTGTTGAAACCCCATTATAATTGGGATTGATTTGAGTATTAGAAAACTTATAATTTTGTGATACACATATATATTTGTACTTTGAGAAATTGTGGTTGAAAACCTAAGTATATTGAAATGAGTGAAACTATGTTTATATTGGAGGATATGACATTATATTTACTTTTGAAGGACATTGTTTTTGGAGGAAATGTGTAAATTAGAGAAAATATATTATTTTGCATACTATTATATTCTTTTTGGAGGATAAAAACTATTATGGAAAGTATGGATATTGATGGGTTATAATGCGTTGTATTATTTGAAAACTATAATTTGGATAGCCTACCGGCAAATGATAATATTCATGAAAACCTTCTTGGAAAACAATTATTACTTTTGGAGGATACTGTATCTATTTTGATAACTATTCTTGTTTTTGGAGGATATATAAAGATGTATCTATTTTTGGAGGATATGTGGATATGATGGATGGTTGTGGAATGGTGGACTTCGGTCCTATGTGGGTTCTGGCCCTATTTTGATGAGATTGTATCTAGTAGAAAACATCCTGGGTACCTATTATATGTGGAGTAGCCTGGTAGAAAACATCCTGGGCTACTTGGACTAGTTACTACTCTTTTGGGTGGGGGAAGCCCATTAGAGGGTGTGCACACTTAAGGTTTTAGTCCTTTATCCCACGAAAGGGACAAACTTGTGGAGTGGCCGATAGAGTGGATTACCGTGTCACTAGGGCTTAGTTGATCTAATACCCTTCGTCCCTTTCACCTTATATATATATATATATATATATATATATATATATATATGAGAGTATATGGATATGTGATACTTGGAAAAGTGATTTGAGAAATATGATTTGAATTCCTCCCTATCTATTATTATTGACATATATGTTCTGAGAATGACTTGAGAGAAATCTATATCTTGATATGATGACTTGAAGAGATTATTATTTTGCTATTGTGAATTCTTCCATATATACTTGTATACCTATCTATACTTCCAAAATGATTATGTGGAAAGCTATGCTTCGAAATGATACTCATATTGAAAAGTGATATTTCTAAATCCTCCATACTTATTATTTTGGGAAATGAACGAATGATTTATATGGTAGTTGTATTGTTTTGGAAAGAGTAAATGTTACTATTTTGGCGACCCTATTACTAATATGAAACCTAATGCTATTTTGAGTGGAGTGTGTTATGGCCTTGGTGCCTAAGAGTTATCTTGGAAAATGATTTACTACTTACCTTTGTTATTGAGTCAAACTATATGATTGAAATAATTTTAAAACTCATTTACAAAGTATGTCCAATTTGAAAAGTATAAATGTAAGTATTTTACAGGGCGGAGTAGAGCTTACTTAGCATTTTATGCTAATTCTTTTATTTGTGTTTTCCAAACCTTAATGTTTGCAAGATTTGAAGTTGTTGCTAGTTTGAGAGTGCGGCGTAGAGCTCGTAGTCTTGGATTTGAGTTTGGTATAACTGGTTTAGTCTTAGAACTTGAATTGTTGTTGTAGTTAATTTGTGATTTGGAAAGTGGAATGTTGTATTATGGATTTGTAGATAGAAACTTTTTAGCCTGTGCGTTTGGGCTTAGTTGGCTGCCCAAGCGTGGCATAGCACCCCAATGGTTTAGATTTTGATTTTTGCTTCCGCATTTGTATTTAGTCGTTTAGTAAGAAAAGTCTTTTATTTTGGTTTTTAAGTTGGGGGTGTTACAAGAAAGGAAAACTAAGCCCAGATTTATTGGCCCCTACGAAATCTTAGAAAGAGTCGGGAACCTGGCTTACCGCCTCGCATTGCCGGCCAAACTGGACCGAGTACACAACGTGTTCCACGTGTCGCAACTAAAGAAATACGTGCACGACGCAACCATGTCCTCCAACCCGTTAAGTCTAAGCTTCGAGGACGAAGCTTCTTGTAAGGGGGGAGGGTGTAACACCCCGTTAAGGCTAAACACTAACCTGTTATTTTTGTGTCCAGTTTCGTATCGTGTTAACGGGTCGTGTCGATAATTGCCAGGTCTAGTTACCTCTTAGCCTTAACCAATTTCCTTGGCTACTAAGGTTCTTCTCTAAGATTCTCCTTCAATTGATCTCCCTAGGCTTGGTGGTGGGGAATTCTTTTGCTAAGTTTCCTCGGGGAATGTCTCGCATGGTAGGATTAATCGTTGCAAGGTTTCTAAATGCTTTCTAATCCCCTATATATAGATACAGGAGTCCTAACTAGAATCTGAATAGTAGAGGCCCACTTTCCCTATTCCTAACAGGATTAAAGACTTGATTAAGATAAGGGTCCATGATCCATTGCGGACCACACTAATTAATTAAGGAGAATTCTAGCACAATTAAATCCTTTTTAATTACTCTCTCTATCCCATTTTATGTGTCTTACTTTCCTTTTTAGTTTGTCCCAAAATGTTGTCCACTTTCCAAAATTGAACATCACCATCATTCTACTTTTTTCAAATTACCCTTCTAGCTTTTGCTTTCTTTATTGTTTTTATTTTCAAAAATGAAAAAGTGAGGGCATAATTCGAAAGTGCATAACATTTACTTTAATTCATTAAAAAGCGTGCAAAAAGTAAATGAGACATCTAATTCGGGACGGAGGAGTATATATTAACGAAATTAAATTCCATATTTAGTCCGAATTTGGAGGCTGTAACACTGGTGTTACACCCTCCCCTCTTACAAGAAGCTTCGTCTCCGAAGCTTAGACACAGGTGTAACACCCCGTGTTACGGCTTCTAACCCGAACAAATTATTTAATTACTTACCCTGAAAAGAGAATTAAATTCCATTAATTAACTAGTAAGGGTCCACCATAGACCATGGACTCTTATCCCCAAAACCAATCCCTTAATCTAATAATAAATATAATTAGCAAATTCATACCCTTCAGACCCTAATTAGGACTCTTAGATATATAAATAGGGACATAAGAAGCACTTAAAATACACACCACAATAGATATCACCGCACAAGAATTTCCAAGAATTCTCTTATCACCAACATAGGAGAAATCAAGAAGAGGAGATCTTAGAGAAAGACCCTTAATAGCCAAGGAATTTAATTAAGGCTAAGAGGTAACCCATGTCTCAACAAAACCTATTTTCTTCGCTATAATCTACTTCTTAGCTTCTTCTCTATGCTTGTGTCTAGATAAATCTTTTATGATGATGATGATAGATCTTGATGATTGATGAGACGATCTTATGTGTTGATCTTGATAATCTTGATGATTATAAGAGGATCTTGATATTTATGTGATGTTCTTGATAAATCTTGATGTTCTTGATTTTAAAGATAAACAATGATTTTGATGATATGAATATTGATTAGAGCCCTAGATTGAACTGGGAATTTCGTATCGTGATGTTCTTGGTATATTTGGGTGGGATTTCGCATGTTCGGGTGTTATTTATGTTTAGATTAGAAGTCACGTTAGGATATGTTTAATATAATTCTTGTTCTGATCCATTATTGACTACGTGGTATCGCCGTTTACGTTTAAAAGTGATTAAACATGGTTTCGGGTTCCACGAAAGATTCCGGGATTAATATATTGAAAAAGAGTCAGTGGGGAGTGGGGGGTAGGTGGGGGTAGGGGGCCCGCCACCTACCCGTTGCCCAAATTGGCGTCGCCGGCAGCGGGCAGACGACTGCCGCCGGGCACCCGCTGCCCGAGACTTTTTGCCAGCGGGCAGCCGGTGGGTGTCCTACACCTGCCGGCCACCAGCTGGATTTTTCCCCACTTTGGGTTGTTGGCTTCCCCGTTTGATGTTTCCCTGGCCCTCGTGGTGTCCCAACGGACTCCGTTTATCGTGTCTAAGTCTAGTTTGATGTTTTGGGTATCGTTCGTAGGATAAAAGAGTCTTGTGTATTGTATGCTAGTTGAATTGGTACCCCGCAACCTAGGTGAAGGATGTATGAACCACCTAGGACCATTCCTAGTATGTGGATGACCACGCATAGGTTTCATTATATGTTTTCTCCCTC